GGTATACAGTATATGCATACATTACATGTGTACGCTGCTCCAGCCGATCCCAAAAATATCTCGCGCACGTGCTACTGTGGCACAAGCGTATATGTATTTGTATAGGGAAAAAAAAAGTCACATCCACTCACGTGCGCCCCAGACCCAATAAATAAACGGATAATATTCCAATTCCACGCGCCGTGCACCGCAGCGCCCTTTTTTTCGACGATTATTGCAACAGCGACCGCCGCGGCCGCATTAAATGCCCCTACTATCCCTCCACTCGGCTGACACTGACATTGTGCGCCACATAATGTATATGACCACACGCATATTATACACGAGCGCGTGTAAAAACACACGTAATCTTCCTGAGAATCGCATTAAGCAGTCAGAGAGACAGTCTTTGAGCTTCGAGGGAGAAATCTTTCTTGCGGCGTTCACCCACGTGTTTCCGTGTGCAAGGCGCATACATACATTTGTTGAGGAAAAAAAAAAAAACGGCACCGCCGCTGCGTGCGACGCTTGAATTAGAGGCACCCACAAAATGCGTACCCGCAGGACATGTGAATGGAGAAAGGGTTTTGGGTTTTGAGCGAAGCAACAAAAAATGAAAGAGAGAAAGGAGAACGGGAAAAGAGAGAGAGAGACTGATAGGACAATAAACAGTAGGGTATAATATAATATATCATTATGGGTGTGCGTATGCGTGTGTGTAACGTGGTGTCTTTGAGCTTCAAGAATAGATACGGGGACATGCGTGCATGGGCGGAGAGACGGAGGAAGGGCACATGAGGATTAGTGCTGTACAACCCCGTATCACGACATCCTGGAATTAAAACGAAAAGCAGAGCTGCACGGCGTGTCGGAGATCCATGACAATGGGGTATGTGCTCGTTCATGTGCTGATCAAGTTAATTTAAGAATAATAACAATTCCTGTCTGACTTAAATATTGACGAGTTTCGCAAGTATATGAATGATTAAACAACCATCGATATGAAAAAAAAAAAAAAACAGCTTTGTTATGGTATGGTTTCATAGTTGTTAAAATTCTAAAGGTAAAAAATACAGTTCAAAAAAGTTGTGTATTAACAAAGCATTGAGAGACAGAGGTATGGAGCTTTAAATTTAAAAAGTATAATAGAAAACAAAATTTTTCTAAACCTATAGGTCGTTTTCTCAGCTTTTTCACTTGAAAGTGGCTCAATGACCCCAAAGCGATACTCTGCTTGAAGCTATTTCAACTTTTATGCGATTGAAAGCACTAAAATTGCCCATCTTTGTATCTTCAACCGTGAGAGGCTCTACAAAGGAAACATAGAACTCGTGCTTGCAAAAATATGATTCCACAGAATTTTTGTTTTGGCCCACTCGTGAGCACTGCACTTTTTTTAATAAGAGTCATTCTTGATGTATTTACAGAAATAATTTTTTTCAGCAAAACGAGTGACAGTGTCGTAAAATTGGATGAAAAAATTTGTAATTATTGGTGCTAAATTCTGTATACCTAGTTTGAATAAAAATTGCCCCTGATTGTGATAAATCAAGTTTCCGAGAATATCGATTGTATACGACACGCAAGAATTCCCAATGACTATACATGCACCGTATTAGTGATAAACTTGACGATAAGATAATCAAACGGAGTATCCGAAATTTATTGCTATTTTCAAATACCCACTTGGCTAACCGTTTTTTAGAATATACGACCCATTAAGCCAATACTATATGCAATTGAAAACTTAATTACTCGACTACCCAGACGATATCGCTACCGATAGCACGGGTCACCTTACGAAACAATAGAAATTAAAAGGTATATACTTGATGAAGGCACCAGATATAAAGAAAAAAAAGAGTATGCGTACCAGCTGATGAGGTGCCATTTTCAGCAACTTGTAAAACGAACCTGTAATCCATTAGAGGGCAATGAAAAGCTTCGTGGCCCTAAATGCATATAATACATAAATATAGAGTTGCGGACTCCGTGACTAATAAGGTTTCCGGCTGTATAAACTTCAATTCCAAGGACGCATAGTGGGATTTCCAAGGGGTTTCCTTGTACACATAAAATTATAATGGGAATTTTCTAATAACGCAATTGAGACATGTCCGAATGAAAATAAACATCTCGAGTGGACGAGTTTTTCAGTTCTGTACATTATAACGGTCTATTCAAATGTATACAAGAGTTGTTTTTAGCGGTTTTGATGCAGGATACTTAGCTGCAATGCGACACGCGCGGCCATTGCAACAATGAGCACCGGTATACAAACGAGGATGAAAGACAATGAAACCTTGACTGATGTATTGCGCATCGAGGAACATACAACAGAACAATGAGATTAAAAAAAAAAAAAAAATTACAATTAACGCGAGGAATAATTTTTGTGAAAGCTTTGCAAGACCATACTTTCGAAAATCAAAATTAATGCCAATGTTTGTTCAAACGAGTTCCGCAGACGATAATTCAGGTATACCCGAGAGTTAATTTCGGCGATAACTCTCGCGGCGTCTGAAAAACGGTTGGAAATTTTTAACCCAATAAATGAATAAAAAGAAACGAAACTCATTATTAAGGGTACGCTCCTCGTGTCAACGTAAAAATCATTGCTCGTTTCGCGGAATGCGAGTGTATGTACGGTATATCTCGTGTATCGATGTACGAATCTGTGCAGAAGGAAAAAAAAAAAAAAAAAAAAATACTCGGTATCCAAGTTTAATGCATGCAACCAATAAATTTCTACTCATCAAACCCGTTCGCGGTATGAACACGAGTATCTTAATCATAAAAAAAGGGGTTCGGCTCGAATTCAATGCCGCAAAGCTCCTTCCATTCGGATAAGCTTATTGCATGCGCGTATATAATATATATACCCATCACCGCGTCTCTTCCAATTTATCGCGTATATACACCTCGACGTACTTGCAATAAAAAAAAAAAAAAAAGAAAGAAAAAACTCGTGCACTTTCAGCGTCAAGGACGTTCGTCCGAAACTTTCTGTCTTTGATTTTCCCGTAACCCGTGCTATAAATTACGGGTTACGAGAGTCGGGAGCGCACAGGAAAAGAGAGATATTATATCTCGAGCGCGCAGTTCGGTCGCCAGCTGTAAAGAGGGAAGAAAAAAAAAAGAAAAAAGGTGCCAAGCCGACCGGATACCCCAACGAGCCGACGACAACGACCACCTAGATGGGTCTACTGCAGCCGGCCGCTGGAGCTTTAAAGATGCGGGAGTGAAAAAAGAAGGAATTCTCGGAAACTAGTGGATGTCCAGGTGCGCCGTGTATACGCATGTATATATATATATATATATATATATATACATGTATACACTTGTAAAAGTACGCCCGTGACCCTCGCTCATATCCCCTGTTTGGAGGCCCAGCCTCCTTCCATCACTTGTGGCTCTGCTCTCTCATCTGCTCGGTTGCTCCCCTGCGTCCAATAGACACACGCACTTCCAGGCCGGGTCGAAGAGCGCGTGCTTTTATATTTTTCTTCCGCTCCTTCTCGGACGGATGGATTAGGTATGTATGCCCGTTTGCTTTAAATTCATTTCCACCGCGCCAGATGTCACGAGCAATACATATATAGGTGTACACGTGTTAATGTAGTGACGATGCGAAATCATGGCCCATACTTATCGAAGAGAGCCCATTGTACCCCGGCCGGACCATTTCAAGGTCTTCAGTTAGATTTATCGCCAATCGATCGTACGTAGTGGTAGAGGGGCGTTTTTGATGTCTAGTATCGTATTTGTACCCTCTACTTATATGGGGGACACTTGAAGATACCCACAACAAACAAACAAACAAACAAACAAATATACCACAGTAAATAGCCCAAAGTACAAACTGTTGCTCGATCACGCGAGTCCGTGTGAAACTGAAATCGGATACAGAGTTGCAAAAAAGAGGGACAATTTTCTGGTTGCCTTGCTGATGGCAGCGTGTAAAGGTATACAGGATACCTGCACATTATAATGATGCAAGTTGCCATTGTCCGAGAGTGCGGTGCACAATAGTGGAGGGAGGGGGCCATTATTTGTTCGCCTACAGAGAAATCCGAGGCGTTTCGGAAGTTTGCGCATTTAGCGCGCATCGGGGGCCCAATAGCCGCTACAATGCCGTATAGGTATAGAGTGTTGTTTGGCCTGTAATAAAAAGCTGGCGTGTATACCCTTCCGAAGCTGACCTTACTTGCCTCTTTTTGTTTTTAGATTTATTCATCGATGCTGGGGAATCGCGCGATCGTTTTTGTCTACGTAATAATATAAGATTTTAGCACTCGTGTGTTACATTTACAATACTTGAAATTGTTAAAATGTTAATGAAATACGGCACGAGAGCTCAAAATGAGGTATATATAAGTGTATATACTCTACAAAGAGAAAGAGAATAAGTATACAAGAGGAGCATATAATAGGGCGACCTGTTGCACGTCCCGGCCTCTCGAGCGAAGGGGAACGAGCCCGAAAAAATCAATGCCGTCGGTAGAACAGTCAGCCTCACGACCAACCGAGTTCCTACATACCGACCGCACTCTGTGCTTCCCCCGCCTATCTGTGCACAGCTGACAGCACCGATTCCTCGAAGGCTCGCGGGTTCAGCCCGCACTGGACAGATGGCGACGCGGTAAAGTTTGAATAGATGAAATAGTGCGCAAGGAAAGAAATGCAGCCGGCGCGGTGTGTGTCATCTGCTTGCCTGTCTGCATCAACCAATGAATCCGCGCATTTTTCCCCTCCTGCCCCTGTCACATGCCCGCGTGACGGTATATACCTATATACTACATAGGAAGAAGAGATCGGGAGAAGAGAAACGGAAAAGTAAGAGCCGTGGTGGCGAGAAAGACGGGGAACAAACGATTGTCGTCGTCACACGGACTCTCTCGTACACTATGTAGGTATATTACAACGGAGGAGAGGAGAAGGAGGACGGAGAGGGGAGGAGAGGAGGGGAGGGGGGGGGGCATTCATACGTCCAAACGGAGCGCCAACGGCAGCGGAGCGAGTCGAGCAGACTGAAAAGAGGTCTAGATTTCAGTGCGCATCAGGGATCTCTCTAAGTCGAACATGATAAGGTGTCATCGCCCAGCCTTGGCTCGACGACGACGACGAAGACGACTACGGCCCCAACGACGCTCTACGATTAGCTCGCTATTGTTGCCTACATCGCTGTTCGAGGTACTGCCAGCAGCCACGGCCGCATTATGACCAGCAGCAGTGCCCAGCATCAGCCGCAGCACCAGACCAAGTTTCGATGTGAGTTTTCGTAAGCGCGTGCCTACGTGTATATATGTGTCCGTCCTAAGTATATAAAACACAAGCACCAGCAGCAGCAGCAGCAGCAGCGCTCGAGAGAGAAGGCACGATCTTTCCGCTCGTGGCGCTGGTGTTGCGCCCCTACGTATATATAATTATTTCCATATCCATACGTATATATATATATTATGATTGGTATAGCCAGCAGCAGCTTTCTCTGTACCTATCGTAAGTAATACGAAAAAACACCCAACGCAAAAGACGAAGAGGAGATCGCGACTGCGCTTCGGCTATTTTCTTTGCGCGCGAATATAAATGTAGGTACTCGAGAGAGAGCGACGGTCTGTATTACAATTGCGCTGATTCGAGGATCAATCGTTTGAATTACTTGTTACAATAATAAATTGGTACAATATGTAAAGGTGGCGGATGAGAAAAATCGAACGGCCGATTGGACTCGAGATCGGTATGAGCAGTGATCGTGTCGCGAATGATCGTTTTCGGTTCTCGCGCATGAGAGCGGCGCGCAACGACTCTCGCGTCAGGAAGCGTCTTTAAAAATAAATCGCGTATTTTAGAATTCCCTCGGTTTCGGATACCCCGATATGCAGTCGCTTCGAAAAGCGAAATACTAATAAACAACATGCTTTCAGCGCTGTTTAAATATAATACGAGATTTTGCAAAATTTTGCGAGCGCGTGTACAACTTGCGAATACGCGTCCCCGGCTCGGTGAAACAACTAGTATACGTACTACTCGGGTCTAAATATAAAATGACTTTGTACGGTGATCTGCACGGGAATACTTGGACGCATACTCCGAAGTGTATCCTTGAATTATAAATATTTATTACTATCGAATTTCAAAGTCAATCACGCGCGGATGAGTTATCAGCACATGATTTCACCTTCGTGAGTCACTCGACAAGTAAAGTACTTGTTCATACTTAACATCATTTACGGTAGATTACAGTAGTATTGATAATCTTTTCGAGAACAATCAAATCGATGATTCGTCAACTTTTTCGCCTGTACCTATTAAACTAATTGTTTTTCTTTCGTATTAGGTAGACTTTGCCCAACGTAAAGTAATTTTTTATATACTCTCCAGTCTTTCTACACATTCGTTTCACCCGTTAAAGTTACCAGTTGAGTAGAACTGGTTGAACAGTTGCAGGAGCACCATAGATTTTGTTGTTATTAAAATTCTTATCACCACAACCACAACGTATATGGTGATAAAAAAAAAAAAAAAACCAACTTCAACTGCACACGCCTTAAAACGCCGTGTACTTGAATAAACTTGGATGAACAGTTTGCGTCCAAGCTCACCTCGTCTCCGCACCTTATTCGTGGCCTCGCGCAGGGCAATGCACATAAGTATACAACAAATGCAGCGGCGGCGCCGTCGTCGTCGTTAAAAAAAAAAAAAAAAAAAACACATTGTCACGCGGCGACAAAAACTCGGAACATCCGTCCATTATCTCCTCTCGGTTCTCCTGCAACAGCTCGTACATGTATATATGTATACTACACTTGTGTACAGAGAGAAAGAGAGATCCCGAGAGCCTCGTATACCTAATACACCACAACACACTGCAAGCGTCGTTATCATCTCGAGAGCATCGCCGGGCTATTAGTCTCTCTATAGCCTGTAAAAAGCGGCTCCCCTTCCCCCCCCTTTTTTTCCTGTATTAACGCTGCTCTCCTTAATTTTTTTTTTATTTTTCTCATCTCCTGTTTCAGGGACGGAAAACCTCACCTGCCGGTTCATCCAGCTGAGAAAGGAGCACGGCAAGATGTTCACGGGACGAAAGTATTCGGCCCAGGCCGGCTGGGAGTGAGTACACACACATTCAACACATAAATCATATACATATTTATATACGAGTACACGCAAGACTGAGAAGGGGGCTGATGGGGTAAGGTCGCGCGCACGCGATTTCGCGATCATCCGAGGCTATATACACTCATTCGCTGATGACGGGAGCTACCTGTACGTATATATTATACGTATTGTTTCTATACCTAGCTCGCGTAAAAAAAAAAAAAAGAAAAAAGAAAATCTTCCTCGCTGTTGCTCTGATTAATTGCGACGTGTAAGTAATATAAGGTGCAGCGCTTACAGCTGCGTGATGGAGTAGTTTTATCCGCTTTGACGATTCGTTATCTCTCTGCTTTAACACGACTCGTCAGCTCGTGTGTGCAATGCCTATACACCTACCGATAACTCACGTACGTGTCCAAGTGCGCGTAACGTGAGAACATGTGTGTTCTTTAATCAAAGTGATGACTAACACTAATACTCGTACTAATACCGTACGACTCATCGTATGATACATATGGATGTATCGTACGTATTATATAATTGTGTACGTACAGACTTGCGAGACCGAGAAATCGTCGTGCTGGTAAGCACGTGATCGTGAAAACCCCGTCCGTCGTTCGGCGATGTACAAGTTACGGTAGGAATGACATTCCGTTCCATTAAAAATCCGTCGAGCCTGTTGAGCTCAATTTCGATCGTTTACTATCTCACATTTTTATCAACGCCGAAGCGAACTCTCGTCCTCCTTAGGCCGAAAACTACGAAGTGCGTGTGTCCGAACGGATCGAACAACTCGATAACAGTGTCATACCATGTGGGGCATATATTTTTGTTCATCAAACATATTTTGTGCATGTAGGTATATCTCCATATGATACTTGTGACCCGTATTATATATGAACATGGTATTATATATATATATATACTTGTCAACAGCGTCGCGTAACATCAATTTCGTTTATTTGCCCTATACTTGATACTCATATATTATAGGTATACGTTTATACCTATATTTTTTATACGTTTTATTATAGGTATGTCGGTTATTAACACAAATTGCTCACCAGTGTGGGTCAACAATTGTAGATATTCGAGAGTATCGTGGAACTGCAAAACACTTTTAGGCAAAGTAGGCAGCACACTCTGACGAGTAGCACCAATATTCCGCCGAAATCTATCCAAATCATACACCGTAAACTGATACTCGTCGTTGTTTATCTCACTGCGAATTAATTTCAACGGTCGAGTCGAAATATCGTCCAACGCTTTGCGTTTCACACTATTGTTAATTTTTCGTCGATTTGCTATAGCCTCCTGGACAGGATTATGATTGTGTTTTTCTTCGTGTTCGATGAGGTCATTATGTGAGTTAAGCTTTAAAAAACTTTTGCAATTTTTTTGAGTACAAACCCAACGCTGTACTTCGTTGCACAAAACTGTTTTGAATCTATAAGTGTATTTATTAATATATACAAGATTTCGTCCTTTCTCACTTATACGGAACTCCATTTTTCAAAAAACAACAATTAAATGAAAAGAAAGAATTAATAGATGACTGGTGAATATTTGCGTCTTCTTGCTGGCTCAGTTAACGCAGAACTGACTGACAATACAATTCTTAAGGTAGTTTGTACATACATCACTATTCAAAATTGATGTCGATGTAATATAGATAAATACGTAAAGGCCAACCGCAATTCGACACTGATTAAACGCTTACTTTCACTCGAACCGCAACTCGATATTAGTCTACCGTGTGTAACGAGGACACGACTGTTTAAGCGTCCCATTTACGCATTACACGAGTGTCGCCTCTGCAATACGTATTATGCGCTCTTGCCCACATTTAAACGGAAAATTGATTACCACGCGCTCTGCTCGCGCTTTATAAAGCAGCGCATACGTACACACAAAATATATAATAACCCGTCGCGTTGTACACACGCAAAATTTTTCGATTACCGCTTTCAAAGAGACGCGTGATGTGTATACTTGCTCGCTGGTATGTGTTGGTGCTCGCTCGAAAGTATACTTCCCCTGCACGCATGGCCACCTGCGCCAGCGAGACGGTATACGTGATATTAATTCGCGCGAATTAATCAGCGAAGCTGCGCGTATCGGTATATTATTACCCAGGCGACACGCGTCTATTTAATGGAGGATGATTTTTACTGATGATCGTTATCTCGGCTCGTACCGGATACTCAAGCCCGTGCCTACATCCTTTCCTCGGCCGATATAATTCAACGGATGGCCAACAGATTCATTTTTTTTTTTTTACTATAGTGATCTCATACATTTGTTTAAAATGTTTTAGTGGATTGCTCAAGACAATCTTGGCAATCATCCTCATCGCTTTGTACCAATTACGTTCTCTCAGTTCCCTTGGAAAACCCACGATTTCGAAAAAAAAGGACGCGAAGCTTTTTTATGTAAGACGTGCGGGAAAAACAATCTATGTGTTGTACCATACGTAACACGAAAATACACGTATCGTAGACGTGTAAATGTAATGGGTGAAACAAAATCCATTTCACAAAACGATTCGTACTAAGTGTATACATTGTGTTATTGCTTAGCTTTTTTCCAAACGAGCCCACATGATGTAGTCGAGATCGATGGGGCCGAGAGAGCGATTAAATTATTCAAACACAGTGACTTTCTGCAGGCATGTGCAGGTGATATCTGATCAACGATGAATTAAAAGTATACGTCTATAAATCGAATGAAAAACGGTTCATCCCCCCAACACGTGGTATGAAAAACAAATACTGGCATGCACCGCGCAATTAATTACACTTTATAGCAGCAATCATACCGACAATTAGCTCAGGTATTTTTATACACCCGTCGAAAGAGTAAAAATGTACTATATATTGTATTGTACAGGTGTGGAAATGTTTGCTTCTCTCTCCATTGCTCTGTAGCAGTGATGCCCTGCACCGAAGGGACACACCTAACTTGTTCCCTCGAAACTCTAGACAAAGTATGATGTATAGCCATGCACAAACTAACTCTCTGGGATGTACCTAGAAATATACATATATATTATATCATGGCACGAACCAAACCAGACCGATTCGCCGCAGCTGTTACTATACCCATATGGAGTTACGCTAAGTGTCGCGCGGTCAATCTATAAATATATACAGGAGCTGGTGTATAAAACGTCCGTGCACACAATATAAATATTCAATAGTGCTGTACCACCGACGGGGTCACCAAGACTCGTCATCTCAGGGAGTAATTGAAAGATACATACAAATGGTGGCGCCGACGAGGCGAAATAAGCGTCGTCCATGTGACGAACGTACGAGAGTGAGAAGGAATTATCGAGCGAGAGAGAAAAGAAACGACGACAGAATCCGGACACGTCCCCCCCCCCCGCTGCACGTATTAATCGGTTAACCCCCCTCCCCCCCCTTAATTAATTCGAGGGCTATGGGAGGCGGCGTGAAATATGCCCGCACGCGCCATCGCCCAGATAAATAAGCACGAGTTGGGGAAAAGGGGGGGAGAAAAAACGAGCACATACAGCTCCCCTGCTGGGATGAGGGGGGGGGGCGGTTTTATACGCGCGAAAACAGCGACAACGACAAGGGCATAGATGGATGCACCGAAATGTTGCTGCCAACGCCATAAGCCCCGATGATCCGCTAAGCGCACAGAGGCGCGATATAATACATTGGAGTGCAGTGCTCCCCCCCCCCTCCCCTCATTAGCTCGCTCGGGTTGGCGTGGTGATGTGCAATACACCCCCCGTACGGCTGAAACACGCGATAGGCTGACTTTTTTTTCCGCGCTACCCAAGTCATGGTCCTCCGTGTAGCGTCGCGATTCTCGAGATTATTCGAGATCCGGTGATAAGTACACGTACAGGTACGACGTGGCTTTCTCCCCGAGCTCTTATACATATATTATGTACCGATCAATGGAAATCGCGAGTAAAGGTGCTTGGCGAATACTCTTATCATCATCCCGTCGTGGTCGTCGTCGGTGTATGGGCTTCCATTGGCAGCCTGTGGACCGATTGTAAACCACTTAATCCTTAATACACACACGTTGTACATACGCGGGCTTTCCTGGTAATCTCTCCCACCGTATCTATCCATTCATCCATCTTTATCTATATCTATATCTATCCGTCCGCTCTTCGTGCACGGCTTGCAAGCTCCACTCCATCCAGGACCGCTCCTGTATATACATATATGCATGCAGGGACCTATTCGTTATCGTTTTCCAGGTAACACACGTGCCCCCCTCTCTTTCTCTCTTTATCGCCGTGTACAATATATATATATATACGTACTGCACACGATCACGGGAGCAGCAGCCTCGATTCGATCTCTCTCTCTTTCGCGAGCGCGCGCGCGCGACTGATAATTGCGCCTATCGGTGGCTTCCCTGTGTACCACGCGATACAGGCGTTGCTAAGCATTCATTATACCTTGTAGGTGGTACCTACCATGCGGAACTGGAAAAAAATGAATTCCGCCCACTCGAGATGTTTGTTTGCTTTTCATCAACTAAAGGGCGCGAGTTTATTTGTTCATTAATTCGGCTGTTACCGATTCCACGCGTCGTGACGAATCTCTTTTGAGTACAGCTGCGTGCTGTGCTCGTTATTGACTCTGTCGAGTTACATTGCGAACAATAATAATATATAATTGGAGCTTTATGAAAAATTTACGATATTAATAATGCATACGCGTTGGCTAATCGAAGCTTTTTTTGTTCAAAGTGTTTTTGATGAACACCGTGTATGGGTACAATGGGCGGGTACAACTTAAAACCTGACAGGTTTGAATTAGCTTTTCTTTGTGAACGCGTGCCGTGAAATTGATTCGGGTAGATAATCAAAGAGATGATGTAAAGTTTGATGTAATAATCTCATCAAGGTAATAACGATCTGTGGATGAAGCTAAAAATATATGTCCGAATAGCTGTAATTTATAGGCGATTTTTGTTTACGGCACACAAACGTGGGCGACTAATGATAATAATATACATACACGTATTTTTCAGAAAAACAAACCCCCGCAATACCTGAACCAACGTATATGTGGTCTTTCAATCCTCGACGATTCGTGTGGTGCAAAAGAAAAGACAAGAGTGTCAAAAGAAGTTCTTACGCTTCCAATATTGACCGGCTATAATAAAAAATAAAAAATAAAAAAAACTATAATCAGCCCAAAAGATTGGGGGGGGGGGAGCAGATGAGAGTATGGCGTACGATTTCACGCGCCGACAGCGATTTACGCGTTTATTCCCAGCCTCAACTCTCTAATTGGCGCACCGTCAGGACCGGTCTTTAATTGCCATTCACTTTTTCTCCATTAAATCTCGATGTAATCGAATGGGAATTGTGGGCGTGCACCTGCGTCTCATTTGCATACGAGTGCAACTATGCGCCGTTTATCGCTTATACGTCACTTTTTTATTTATTTACGTTATAATGTATGCACGATACGTGTATATACGTACGCCGATCTCTTTTCGAAGTCGTTATGTCCCAAATGGGTGGGTGTTGGATTTTTTTTTTTTTTTTTCGTTCGAGCGCATTTGGAGTTGCTTTTTGCTCTCGCGTGGCCATAGTCGTCTTTTTGGGTATTCGACGGTCGAAGGAGAAAACTGGGCCAAGAAAAATCCCGGCGGTCGGAGNGATACGTACGGGGCACGCCTGTGTATACGTATTATACATGTATGCCATCCATTATTGTAATACGCCGTGACACGAGCTGCGCGCGTTACTTAAGGGCAACTATGCGCCGTTTATCGCTTATACGTCACTTTTATTTATTTATTTTTTTTTTTTTTTTATTTCGTTCGAGCAAAAAATGAATTAGCCTCGTCGCGAAAGATCTGTTCTGCGCGTGCTTTGCATTTCAAAACAATACCCATACGATAGCGCGCTTTGGAACGTTCCAGAGAGTGACATGTACCATTGTCTCCCTCTCCCAGCCTCTTTATTTTTACTTGAATTCCTGCGTACTGTTGTACTCGGCACGTTCTCGTTTTAACGAGGACTCTGGTATTACTTGGTTGCGTAATTATTACGACTCTAGCTCGCTCTTTCGCGATGTACGTGGAAAAGCTGCGTTTGTATCTCTATGTAGTTCGTCGAGGGCATAAGTTACAAGACCAAACGCACTATTGACAAAACCAATATACCCATTCTTTGTGGAGAAACGAGAAGTATTAAAATCGTTGTATTAAAAACACGGAAAAAAAAAAAAAACAGTTTTGACGCGTCGACTCGTTAACGAGGGAAAACCCGTAAAGATAATGGTCTCGGTGTATAAGCTAGTGATTGAAAGCGCAACGTGAATTTAATCTCATTTTTCTTTGTTTTATTTTTTTTCCCCATGAAGGTACATCCTCCAGCAGATGAGAGAAGAGTTTCCCAACGTTATGACCACGGACGTTCATTATCGGGTGCTCAAGAAGAAATGGTCCAACTTACTGCAGCAGTATAAAGTAAGCGTGCCCTACCCCCTCGCTCTCTCTGTTGACCGTATACTATTCGCTCCGAGCCGATACAGAGGTTGCGCCCCCTCTAGCCAAAATCAGGCAACATTTCTTGCATGTAAACAAACGGTTTAGAACATATATACATGCGTATAGCTGCTTGTGATTGGCTGAATAAGACAGCAGGAGAGGATCGTCGTTCTCTCTCTAGCTTGCCAAGTGCCAATCACAAGCAGCTGTACGTATGTATATATGTTCTAAACCGTTTGTTTACATGCAAGAAATGTTGCCTGATTTTGGCTAGAGGGGGCGCAACCTCTGTATCGGCTCGGAGCGAATA